GTAATCCAGCCTTTGTGAAAACACTTCTCTCTCTATAAAACAGCACCATTCCTAGATACAGTACCTGACTAGCAGACGTAAGGACAAAGGCTCCCTGCTGTACTCACCAAAGGCATTCTTCGATTCAGACAGCCGCTCTTCATCAGTGGAGTCGATCACGTATATCACCCCATGGGATTCAGCGTAATACTGCACCAGGAGGGAAACAGATCTGAATCAACCCTGAGCAGAGTCTGCATGAACACCTTTCTCCCCCTTTCCCTTTCTTGCAATATGTCTCAGTGTTGAACAGGGATTAATTTTTGCCTCAGTACACAGTGGGAAAAGACTGCAAGACGCGTCAGTAAGGCCACATCTGGCACATGGTGTACAAGTTTGTGTTCCACATTACCAAAAGACATTGCTTCTAAGGAGTTTTCCCAGGAAAGAGTAACCAGGTTAGTTCCTGGTTTTAAAGTAATGTTACACTGGTCTTGAAAAAATGAAATTATGAGGACACTTGATTCATGCATTTAAAATCTTTCAGGTTATTAACTCAAATAATCAAGTTGGAAAAGTGGATACTGAAAGGATGTCCATTCAGTACAAAGTATGGAAGTATTTTTTTCAACAAGTTACCCATTACTGTTGTTATAATGAAGCATCAAATGGTTCCATATGTTCTTATATATAGGTCCTATGACAGCTTCCTTTTGGTAGCAAGGCTCTGGGAGGTGTGCAAAATAAATGACGGTTGTAATTGGGCTCAGGAATTATATATAACACACCCTAATAAAACAAAAACTAAAAAAGTTTTAAATAACATTTAATACCACTGATAACCCTTCAGTGACCTCTAGTGGTCTTAATGGTCACTGCAGGTGTCTCCATGGGATAGCCTACCACAATTGTGAACAGCAGTGCTTCATGCCTCACATTGCAAAGCAACTGATAAATATTTAGGAAGAAGATTCTGTGAATCACAATATGAGCTATTCAGTTGCAGATTGTAGCTATACAGTTCCATTATAGCCAGGGCCGCATGGCAGTGCAGTGGTTGGCATTGCTGTCTCATAACGCTGGTGCCCTGGGTTTTAATTCCGGACCTGGGGTGCTGTCTGTGTGGGGGTTGTATGGTCTCCTGTGTTTGCGTGGGTTTCCTCTGGGTGCTTCCATCTCCTCCCACAGCTCAAAGAGATGCTGGTAGGTAAACTGGCCCCAGTGTGAGTGTGTGTCTCTACGTGCCCTGTGATGGACTGGCATCCCATTCAGGACGTATCTCGCCCATGGCCCCCCAGCAACCCTGAATTGGATGAGGCAGTTAGACCAGTTCAGGCAACCCCACTGCCTTGCCTTACTTTGTCCCACAGTGACTGCAGCTCGTCTTGACCTCCCAGGTCCCAGAACATGAGGCGCGCCTTGCCCACATCTATTGTGCCAACTGATCAGGAAAAGGGAAGGACACACAGATCAGTCTGATTTTAAACATTGGCGGTACTGTCTAGATATATAAATATACTGTACAATGCATTTCATACAAAGAGGATCAAAACTTACTGTTCAAGCCCACAGTGGTGGTGATCTTGGACAAACTCATGCCCTTATAATTCTTGCTGAATTTAGTCTTGGTCTGCTCCAGAAATGTCTATAGCAATAAATGGAAATGGATGAAATCACTCAGTTGGCAAAATCTCACTGTCTAATAATACACACACATATATATATAATGCATTTGCAAGTGTACAATAAGAGAATCACATGCACGATTTTACATTGCCCATAAATCATACTGTCCATAGGTTTAAAAGGCATTCACTAAATTCACTAAAACAACTTACAGTTTTCCCTGCATTGTCTAAGCCGAGGATCAGAATGCAATATTCATCCTTCTGGAACATGTATTTGTACAGACCCGATAATAAGGTGTACATCCTGGAAAACAACAACCAAAAAAAACAAAACAAAGATCATTTAAAATGCCCATTTGGACTTTAAAAATACACATTAACAGATGCTTGATATTTGAGCAAGATCATACGCATTGCTTGATACTTTAAATCAATGCAGAGTAAAGATGTAGAGAAACGAGCCAGTTAATACATAGACAGGTAGGTGTAGATAGATCCACAAGGTAGGTGAAGAAGTCCTTTTTGGATAAGAAATCATGTGCGAGATAGGATTTATTGTAGTGAGAAATTTACCTTTTTTCCCCCCCAAAAAGCACAAAACCAAGTTTGCTAGCTAGCAGAAAGTAACTTGGTAAGTGTGGCTAATGACAGCCTTCTTACTCAGAGCACAAACAGGATGGGAGACATGTGTTGAACTAGTCTTTCCAAACAATCAAGTCATAATATGGTATTCTTTGAAGAAAGTTCAGGTGGGCAGCTGCATCAGCATGCGTAGGCTGCAAAGGAACAAGTAAAAAGTTTATTCCACGCTGAAAAGAGAAGAAAGAAAACACAACAAATGAAGAAATGAAGAAATGGTGACATGGACTCACATTGGTTACCACTGCAGCCTCACAGCGCTGGGGTCTAATTTATAACAATGATCTAGATTCCGGCATAGTACCAACGTCTGAAGATTATTTCAAAATAGGAGGATTACCAAACCAAATTGAAGATGAAAACACAAAACAGGAAGATTCTGATAAAATGCTCAACTCGGAAACATCCTGTCCTATGATGTTTAATCTAGACAAGTGCATATTATTACATGCCGAAAGTAAAAATGCAGTATAGATACAAAGTGAGGAACAAAGGACTTGAAAAAGCTAAAGAGAAAGTGTTTGTTGACATTTTTATCTCCAGTTACAGTGGGCAAGCAATAAAAAGGTCAACAGAATATGAGGGGGAAATTATTAAAATTTCAGGATTTAAATCGAGGGATGATTTGTCAAAACTATGCAATGCACAAGTAAGACCTCACTTAGAACACTGCATGATGGTCACCATGTGACTAGAAGACTAGTGCGCTTCTGAAAATGTTCTAGAAAAAAAGAGCAAGCAGGTTCATTCACATTAAAAGGATGCCCTACATTTTCGGGACAAAGTGCTGAACCTTTTTAGTCTCAAAGGCAGATGACAATGAGGGGGACCTGATTTAAGCCTTCAAAATCCTCAAAGACATTGCCAGTGTCAGCCCAGTGTATTTCTTCACAATAAACAGAGAAAGACAACCCAGAAGTTACAAGAGGAAACTAGATTGAAGAACTTTTAAAACTGAGAACAGGATACACTTTATGGAAGGGCCATTATATGTATTATTTTATAGAGTTGATAATGTTATTATTATTATAACTATTACGTTATAACTATAATAAATATTATAATGTATACTCCGGCCTCATCAGGGAACGACTGGATGAGAACCCAGGATCAATAGCTTCTAGTTACCAAACGGGCGAAATGAGAAGAATCGTGACGTTAGTTCCGTGCTTCTGATTATATCTCGGCTAATGTTTACCTTTGTGTCTGGGATCGCCCGCACTTTACTTGCTGTTTAAGGTCTTAATAATCCAGCTGAGATGGAATTGAGATGATAGATTTCACTTTATAAAACCGTACAAAGGCGAATAGCTTACACACTCTCAGGTTAATATAATTGTAAATGCTAGTTCTTTTGTATTGGGGTGGATGTATTTAAAAGTGCGCTGTTAGAGATGACTGGTATTCCATCTAATTTTACTTAGGACTAAAATCCTTGTATACAGTACTGTCAAAATAATGAGCTCAATTACATTATAAAACAAACAAAACCAACTGGTTTGCAGCAGTACAAACCACAGGCTATAACTATTAACTCTGAATCAACATCCCTGTAAAATAATAATTTCTCTAATCCGTCGCTCTTTTCCTGTTTTGTTACCATCCTTAGATGTTAAAATAACCATACATGCATTTGAAAACTGCTCTTATAACACATTTCCTTGAACTTACCTTTCATTTGCGACCAAGTCATCATCCGTAAATAGGAAGTGCTTACCGACTGGCAATGCACTGTAGGAATTGATGTTTTTTGTTGGTTTCACCCCCATGGCTGCTGAACGGATGTCCTGAGCTTGAAAACTACAAATCCCAGGATACCATTGGAAAGGAAAAGGCCGGCGTGTAGTTTGCAGTGGTTACTGGGAATTTACGTTTTCACTGGTGCTTTTAAAACTGTAGATGTGGTCCAAATACACTACAATACCCACAATTCACAAATATACTCTAATAACTTCCTCTCAAAAATGGAAGGATATCAAATTGTCATTTAAATGGTGACTGCAATATCAGAACCGGTAAATGTAAGGTTACATTGCTTTTCTTATACTACATACATATCAGTAATGCAGGATTTCTGTATGGAAGATTGTTACCAACAGTTAGCAACAATTTTTTTTATTTTTGTATTCCAGTTTATATATTTTGCGGTTATACATCCTGATCAGTAGTTACCGTAAATATATTTAAAGGCATCAAACGCAAGAGATAAACATAGTTTTGGTATAAGTAACAAATCTGTGTTTTTAAGGCTCTCTTTGTATGTATCATTTAGTTCTTCGTGAATAAACGATTAAAAGTAAACAGTATTTTAAGAAATAATTTCTGGTTTAATATTTGTCTCCGTTACATGTTATAGATGTTATAAATGTTATTTTTCGTATGTGTAATTAAATTACTAAAGATATTGCTTTACAATTACACATTTTTGAACGGCGCCTTAATTAAAACTAGCAAAATACTTTTCAAATCAAAGCAATTGCTTTAAAGTAGCAATAAATAGCACTTATTGCATGGATTGCTTATCTCAGTGTTAAAGCATTTTCAGAGACAAATACGCTAGTTTTAGTACCCAATTTTTTACCTAGTTTAAACAGAGGTTCATACGGACGTCTGTGAAATGTTGACATCAGAAACCTACAACTTAAGATGTGAAATCGATCGTTTCGTCTCTGGGATGCGTGACAGGTCTCATCTCCGTGTTAATTTATTCGGAAAATTTTATTGCTTTATTCTTGCGCTGAAGGCTAAGTTGTCGGATTTCTCATTCTTCCAGCTCGCATCCCGGAGTAGATTGCCCAAGGGATTTGGAAATATCAGCTTCGGGAAAGCTTGGTCAGTTTGAGACAAAAGAGAAGAAGCAATCTCATAAAGGTATTTATGGGAGAGGCAGCAAGTGATTGGATTTCCTCTACTTTGAACATACTGACTCAAGCTTTTCCGCATGACTGTATTAAGACGAATGCTCGCCTGCAGTGTGCAGGGTGCCTCAAAGAACAGGGATAATCACGGTTTTCCGCAGTTTGAACAGCAGAAACAGTTGGAGGAGGGAGAAACACATCTCCAGGTTAAAGCGTTTGACCTCTCCTCTTCCTCGCCAGACCGATTCCTGAATGCCGGCCTGTCCCCCCGGTCGTGATGGACGAAGGTAGCTTGGAGGCGGCCATCGAGACTTACCATGCCCAGCTCCAGCAGGTGGAGACGGCCCTGGGCGCCGGGCTGGAGCCCTCCCAGCAGTCTGACCTCCTGCAGCTGAAGGAGGACCTGCTCCAGCTGATCGAGCTCACCGAGGCCAGCCTGGTGTCCGTGAAGAAGAGCCGGCTGCTGGCCAGCCTGGAGGGGCAGCCGCCGGCGGGGGACCCCGGCATGCGGGACGAGTTCGCTGCGTTTTACGCGGCGGTGAGCGAGCCGTCCTGCGCCGAGCCCTCCACCAGCGAGAGCGCCCCTGCGGCCCAGAGATCTGGAGGAGGCTCCGGCAGCCCCGGATCTCAGCAGGCAGCTGAGGAAGAGGAAGAGGAGGAGGAGGAGGAGGATGTGATGAGTGGCATGAAGGTCTGTGCCCCTTACCGCACCTCCTGGGGAACGCTGGAGTACCACAACGCCATGGTGGTGGGCACAGAGGACTCGGAAGATGATGAACCGCAGGTCCGGGTTCTGTATGTCCACCCGACCCAGAAGTCCATGAAGCCCTGCCCCTTCTTCCTGGAGGACAAGTGTCGCTTCATGGACAGCTGCAGGTGAGGAGCTGCAGATTGCCACTGGGAAACTGCATCTGTTCCCCTCTGGATGGGTTCAGAGGCAGACTCGCACAACCATTGTACCCCTGAAGCTGAAAATATGATGGAATGCATTGCAGTTGTTTTAGCTCTTGCATACCTTTCTGTGATTTATTCCAAAGAATTCAAATTAAAAAATACACAGCACCTCCTTCTTTATAACACACTGGATTCTTTATAGCTTCTTGGCTGCTATGTAACACAGACAAAAAGAAACATATCCTAAAATAATGAAGCATGTCCACTCGGAGATAAGATCACTTTATTGGCCATATACAATTTCTTGCATTAGGAATTTGTCTTTTCACATACCCCAACTTGCTCTCCACGAGACCCACAGACAGGGAGAGAAGCTTGGGGTCAGAGCGCAGGGTCAGCCATTTATACGGCACCCCTGGAGCCGTTGGGGTTAAGGGCCTTGCTCAGGGGCCCAACGGAATAGGATTCCTCTGCCGGCCGCGGGATTTGAACCGGCAACCACTGACGTGGATTGAAGTTGGGGTTAAAGCTGCACGCTGACCCCTGTGATTGCCGTGCCTTTAGACAGAACCGTTGTTTATAAATGGAGCAAAGCCGTTGTGATTCGGCTGCTCTGAGCCGGCGCTCCAGATCGAATCGGAATTGGAGTGCCCGCGATACCGAGCATTCCCGTCCGTTCCCACACTGTCGTGAAGCTCTCCCCGAGTTCGTCCTTTTCGCCTCCTTCAGGTTCTCCCACGGAGAAGTGGTGTTGGTGTCCGAGCTGCGGCCTTTCCAGGAATCGGACCTCAGCTCACTCCAGGAGGGCTCAGCCTGTTTAGCCAGGCATGAGGATGGCATCTGGTACCCGGCCAAAATTACAGGTTTGTGGTGATCGCTCATAGGCCCTGAACGCACGTGAGGTACTCATGAAGTCGTCCGCACAGTGGACTGGCCAGCTTGCACTCATCATTGTTTGTCCAGCCATTCTGAAACATACATTCAGGTAACAATTTCAAAAAATGAGACAACACAGCAATATTGAGCAGTGTTGGCATCTAACAGCAGCATGCAACGGCCTAATCTCACCAAAGCCTTCTTTGAAGGGCTCTCAGGGTTTGGTGGATTGTCCACAAATCTAAGTCTTTTCCCCGTGTGGCCCGTGTGGAGAGCCTGTGCACATTGCGGTACTTTGTGTGACCTTTTTGTGTCCTGCCGTTGCCCTTAGATGTTGACAGCGGCTACTACACAGTGAAATTCGACTCCCTGCTCCTGAGGTCCGCCGTGGTGGAGGCTGATGGCATCATCCCGCCCCTGAGGAAAGACGACCCCCCCTCGTCCGAGTCCGAGGACGAGGACATGGTGGAGGATTCAGCCTACGCCCGAGGTGACCCGGGACACGCCCTCGCTGTCGTGGCCCAGCTCGTTAGCGTGCTTATTCCATCACGAACCTCCGGCTGTGCTTCTGGCCGGCACCAGCAGGAAGCATCGGAGAAGATGGGGTGGTTTAGACGGAGTAATCAGACTGTGGTTTCTGTGCTCGCAGTTTTTGAAATAACGTTGTTAATAATCCCTTGCATTTCTGTCACACCTTTCATTCCCAAATAATTCCAAAGTGATTTATCCAGTGGAGGGGATCCACTTCATCCATCTCAAAAGCAGCAGCTGCCTGGGTAACTCACAGCTGTCATTAGGACCTGGGGGAGGAAAGTGGCACCGTGGTTAACACCCCTAACCTTACGAACTGTGCCATAGATCTTTAATGGCCAAAGCAGGCAGGACCTCAGTTTATTGTCTCATTCAAGTGTGGTCCATCCTACGGCACGGGATTCCCAGTCACCATCCCCAGGGATTTGGTTTTGAATATTTTGGTCCAGAAGGAAGAGCACCACCTGGTCTGTTTACAGCAACCTCCTGGTTTTGCAAACCCCAGCCCAAGCAGGCCCAGATCTTCTGAGATCTGAGGGCCGCGAGCTGGGCGATGGTGACGGTGCTGACAGGGGTTGTAAGATGTGGGATTTCTGCTTCCGGATGAGCGGTCTGACATATCTATCTCTGTTCTGCAGTTGTGGATCTGGCCTCTGAGGCGAATGGGGACTGGGCTCCTTCCTCTTGCTCCGAGTTTGGGGGCTGGGAGGCACATACCCGAGGCATCGGCTCCAAACTGATGGCCAAGATGGGCTACGAATTCGGGAAAGGTAAGAACTGTGGGTGGAACCGGGGTCCCAGGACACTTTGACCTCCCATGCGAAGACCATAAAATTGCATGGAATTGCAAAGCAGCTGCCGGAGGCTTTGCTTGTGCAAGCAGAGGTTTTGCTCCTCGAGTCGGCAAGGGGATGCCATGCCGCAGAGTCACACGGAGTTACGGGACAGGGTTCCCCCTTCTTGTCCTCCGCCAGGCTTGGGAAGAAACGCCGAGGGCCGGGTGGAGCCGGTGCTGGCTGTGGTTTTGCCCAAAGGGAAGTCCCTGGACCAGTGCGCCGCGATTCTCCAGAAGAGAGCGCCGGGGAATCCGGGGGGCAAGCTGGCGAAGCCCCGGAAAAAAGGCAAAACCAGGACGGGCTCTTCCCAGCCCCGCACGGACGTGTTTGACTTTTTAAACAGCCAACTGGGAGACCGGAATCGGCCCGGCGCGGCTGAGGCAGGAGTCCCGCTGGCTGAGAGGAACAGCAAAGAGACCTACAGGGGAGGGGAAACCACCAAGAGGTCCCTCAATGTCAGGCTCTACCAGGCGGCAGAGAAGGTCGCCCAGACCGAGAGAGAGATCGGCAGGATCACAGAGTCCCTGAGCAGAAACCTGGGAAGGTAAGGTCTGCAGAACCGATCGGCGTAGTGCCTCCCTTTCCGCTGCACTGCGGGCACCCATCCTGCCTCATTCTGTAAGCATTTCCTTCATCGTGAGCTGAAGAGGCATTTAGTGATGGTAAGTATCACTTAGGTCAAAGTAGTTCTCTCACGCGTAGTGTAACTGCCACGAGCTTGTTGATGTCACAGGCCTTTTTCTGATGCATCAGTTTTCACAGGACTCCTATAAAACCTAGATCTTAATTTGAAAGTGGACTGCAGTGAAGATTTCACCACACAGGCTCAAGTAGGTTTGCATTCTCCTATACCTTGTAACACCGGGGATAGAGCTTTAATGAAGACGGGTTGGCTTTTTTATTCTGAAGACAGGGATTAGGTCGAACAAATGCGGGGTTTTTGCAATCACAGTCACCGCCGAGCAGAAAACCCAGGCAATTTAACGTGAGCGGACGATGGTTTAGAACCTGATAGATTCCCATTCAGGTTATGTTAATCTGTCCGAATCCATGCATTTTTAAACAGCGTGATTTACATAAAATGGACAGTTTCTGCTGTTTGTCGTTCCCCATGAAATTGAAAGGACGTGCCTTTGTGACCGCGCACTACGTAGAGACTCCAGCTGGTATGGGAGCTCAGTGTGAACACCGCATTCTCCATTCATATCACACAATTTCAGTTTAGTGTTCTGCTGTATTTTTCCTGTGCTATTTTGAGAGTATTGCTTCCCATTCTTGAGCTGCACATCTCTCTTCGCCAGCTGTGTAATTACGGGCCTTACTGCAAGCATTATATCATTATGTGATACCTGCAATTTGTCTTTTCCCCACATGGAGCCAGTATAGAGCTGAATCACCTTTGGAACGCAACTGAGCCTTGGAGCTCTGGATGATTGAATGTGGCCTCAGACAAAGTGAATCTGAATGAATGTTCTCATTATTTGTAATTAATTGATGGTGACATGAAATCCTCATGTCGATACACAGCTAGGGAATAAACCGGCAAGACTGATGAGCTGAACAGCTATCCCCTGTTTTAAACTTTCCTAGTGATGTTGAAACTGCTGTTTGGCTCCAGCATAATGATTGATACAAAATACTATGATGTTACCAAATTATTATTATTATTCAAGGGAATGAGGATATTATGTTCAATGCAGTCAAAAGTGTGTAAAGTTTCACAAATTGTTTTACAGTAATTGGAACATCTCTTCTTATTGCATTGTTAAAATGATTTGCATTAAATTCGTAGTAGCACTCTTGATGTGAAGCTGTGTGCTTCGCGATGGGTTTTGTTGTAGAAAGCCAGTGTAGCAGACGGCAGGTTATAACACCCACAAAGCAAACTGTGCAGATGTGTAGCGTGGCTTCCTGAAAACGCTGTTCCTTTTGAAGGGATCTTGGGGTCGGATTTAGCTCTCTGCGGCCCGTGGCCATGGAGATACTGCCCTAGACCGTGTGTGGCTCCTCCGAGTATAATCTGTAGATGCACCGCCTTCAGCAGACAGACATGATGTTGATGTTCGCCTGTTCAGCCTTTTCTGGTTTAATTTAGCCCTGTAGCACAGTCAGAGGCATGTTCCAATAACCTAAAGTTACAGTACATAGCTCGTGTATCACCGGTGGCATTCTTTCCTGGCTCTTGACCTGCCCTTCCTGGGGTTTTTGCAGGGATAAAGCCATGACCAGTCACCTGGAAGAGAGGCTGTCAGCTGCCAGGAAACAGCTGGTCCAGCTGAAGGCCCAGGAGGTCCACATCCAGAAGGAGCGCAAGAAAGCCGACACGCACAAGAAGATGACAGAGTTTTGACTCGTTGCCTCATTTTACTGTAACGGCGCCCGAGCAGTACTTATTTTATTACTTATTTCTGGGGATTTTTTATTTTCATCACTTAACTGTGGATATGATTTCAATCTAAGTTGCTAATGTAAACCCAAACCTCCTGACTTCATTTCTTACATTAACTGGTTCAGAAAATTCTGGGCAATTGTTCAAGGATTTTGTTTTTAAGAGAAAATTAAACCAAAACATCCAGTTATTTTGTAGCGTTTTGTTTAATGTCAAGACCCGGACATTAATGGCCATGATGTTTTCCTCTTTGCATCCAGGGCTTTCCTTGTTGTGTTAAGTTTTGAAACCCTGATTCTAAGGCAGGTGCTTATGTGGTTCTGGTTCTTATGGGGTCACCTGGGCTGAGAGCTGGGAATTCTGAATTGGACATTGTCTATAGAAGATTATCTAAAAGAGCTGTTTCTGTGGTGATAAGAGAGACTTAGATCCAGGTGCACCTCACAAACTGGGGGCATTCGGCTACCATTTTTTCTCATCAGTGCGAAAAAGAAAATGAGCAAACCTTTGTTAATATTTTTGGGGATTTAATCTTGAGGGCAGTCCTGTGTTCTTTTCCCTTTAAATATGAAATGTTTTTTGTCTTGTGCTCTTTGTCCCTGCTATCTTTAAGTAAAGGAATGGAAGTTGTACATCTTTTTCCTTATAACCCTGAATTCCAGAGAGAGGCCTTTGAGTCGATTGTCACTGGAGGCACTCGAAGGACAGATTCTGAAATGTCGCCTGGTCTGAGACAGTCACTGTGGCTGCACAAAAGAGTTCTCTTTAGAAACGGGGGAATGTATTGAGTAGTTCAGGTTATTGGAGACCTGCAGACAAAGCAAATTGTGTTGTGCAAGAGACTCTCTTTTATAGATAGAACACAGTCTTGGCTCCTGACACAACTTCCTTTGCAAATGAATGTGATCTGTATAGAGTAGGTTTTTAAAAGTCTGATTTGTTGGTACATATCAGGTATTGTTTAATGATGCCTGTGCTGTTATTAAACGAGAAAAAAATGTTGTTCATTTTATTTTATAACATTGGACATTCTACCTGGTGGAGTCTTTGTGTCCTGAAAAGATTACATAATTAATGACATCATAACTTATCACTTATCTCATCTCTCTTTCGAGTCCCCTGTGTACCAGAAGGATATGTGAGTCGGCTTTACTTTGGAAAGCGTTAAGAAAAAGTGCTTAATTCTTAATTTTGTATTATTGTTTTTAAATGAGGGATATTTAGTCTTAAATCTTTAATTCCTGCAACAATTAAAGTTCTGCTTTAATGAGGAAAGACGTAATTCCTAATTAAAACAGACTTGGGAGTTCACAGCGAGAGCAGATAAATTATTCTCAGTGGGTTGATTTCCACTGTAATTTTCATTTATGCAAGTCCAGTAAGCTTGCTGCACTCTTCATTAGAAATGACCTTCCATCCCCAAAAAAAGTTTTAAGGGTCAGTAATTGAGCAATCAAATTGGAAACAATAGGAAATCAGAATGCAAATATGTCATCTAATTATGCCATCAGCTTTTGGGAAGGGAGTTACACATCCTGTTCTGGGCAGAATAAAATATTAGGTGGAAATAAAATGAATCTGAGGTATCAGCGATGGCATTGTTGATTATGGTAATGTCGGGTTGACTGATTTCAAGGTTGGAATGCTGTGAATTGTGAAAGAGCTGACCTTGTGTGGGTAAAAAGGTACAGTACTTGAGGCTCATGGTTATTTCAAGATGCGTTAATTGTGTCTACAGGCAAAATAAAAATCCTGGCTATATAATAGTGTGAGCATTTAAATCACACAATGCCAAATGAATTATCCTGTTAATTGTAGTGTAGAGGTTTAATATGCCATATGTCAGACCAGCACATATTACTTACAATCTTGTAGACTGGATGCTGTCTATGCCTTTGTATGCCTGCCCATTTTTCATAAATATTTGATTTTTCATAACTTGCCAACTTTTAAAAATATAATCTTAGTAGTTCTTTGATTCGGAAAGTATAAAATGAGTATCAAAGTATCATCTCCTTGAAGACAGATCCTTTTATCTTTAAACATTGTTATCTTTGACAGCAGTGCAGGATTCCCCTGCACTTTGAGAGATGGGAAAAGGGGTTAAACTGCTCCAATTAACCTAATAATAAATGTATCAATAATTCAATAGATCAACTGGTTTGTTAAGAGAGATGAGCTAAAACTAAAAAATGCAGCTACTGTATAGCAGCACTTCGGGAATGAAGTTGGTCACCGCTGTCTTACCCTATACAGAAGGTAGCATTTAGGAAGGTTATTTAAGTCACCAGCTGGCAGTCTGTGCTCTACATAGCTCCGTGTGTGACTGATCTAGGGTTTGTGTGCATTGTCCTTTCTGGTGTCTGTCTGTCTGCTCCCTGTCCATCTGTTTTAATGTCTTCCTCCTTATCAACCCAATGGCATGATAGAGGCTCTATGAAGAAATTCTCTGACCTCTCTGTTACCTTGTTGGTTGAAAAACAGCTGACATGGGCCCGTGTTTACTGTATATAAAGAGGAGCAATGCATTTGGATTTGTGCACATGCAGTATATATGGTGCAGGCGGGAATTTTACTGAAGCTATCTGAGTGCCTTAACTCAGGGGTACAACAGCAGTGCACCAAGTGCAATCAGAACCCACAAACTCAGTTCTGAGCCCAGCAACCTCTCCCCTTCCACATCTCACAGTTTATTAAACATGAGGTGTGTTTGCTAGTGTGATACTGTGTGCTGCCTGTTCCTTCCATTCATCTATTTTCTAACTGCTTCTTCCAATTCAGAGTCACAGAGGAGCCAAAGATCCATCCCTGGACTGGACTCCAGTCTATCTTAGGGCACACACGAACACAAACACCTGTGGCCAATTTTCCAAGAAACCTATTAACCTACCAGTACAGTATGTTTGGATGGAGGGAGGAAACCCACTTAAACACAGGGAGAACATACAAACATAGAAACTCCACACATATAGCACTCCAGGAACTGAACTCGGGGCCCCAGTGCTATGAGGCAGTAATGCTAACCTCTGGGACGTGCATTCTGCCTGTTTTGAAAGGTCAACTAATAGTTTCTGGGACTTGAATCCAGGATGTTCCAATTTAAATTGTTTTAAAATTGGGTTTTAAATTGGGAAATGAATTTCCCATGTTTTGAGGATGATAAGGGTCTTCTAATCTTTTACTCAAAAGAACAGGCAGAAAAGTGGTTGGAGAGCTTAATTCAAAGCAATGGGCTCTAATTGGAAGTTTTCAAAAAAGCTGGGTCATTGCCAGAATGCAGCGTTTCCAAGACTACCATTCAAGATTTTGTCCTCATGAGTTCCACAGCAACATAAAAGGAAAAGACATGAATATGGAGAAAAAACGAATGTGCTCCTAAGTCAAAGGGGACCAAATGATGTAGCTGGGTGATGGCGATTTGCAGAGAAAGGTAAAGTTCATGTGGAAGGAGAACTCCTGTTTTCTGTAAATGGCAGTGAGTGCTTTGGAGCTATTGTGCAGCTTCTCTTCCTGGTGCCTTTTTCAGAATCGAAGAACAGATGGATTCATCATGATATCAGAATCCTTTGAACTGTTGTGTACAGATGCGTGCTCTGGTTGCCTTCCATATTTCAAAGGCAGGCCGGCTCATTTCATTGGTGTCAGCTGATGTCTGGTCTGCAGTGCTGGTTTAGGCTCTGGCTCAATGTTACCCTCTGCTGTAAGAAGCGAACAAGTAAAATTTGCCTGAAATTCAAAAAGACCTTTTTACTTGTGAGCCATATCAGAATATCTTTACGAGAATCTCCTATACAGCACGTTATCCCTATGACCTCATTCTTACCTCATTAGCTCCTGGTAAATATGCAATGTTACTGTAGTAGAATTTTTTAAGCAATGCCAAATTCTGTTTCTCAAGTCTCAGCAAATAATATATTTAAACAATATCCCAATTTGCGCTAACTTTAACATAGGCTTGCAGATTTTTTCCAACCTGGTGAAATGTATGCCAATGCAAATCGTTCACATCATCCAGCCCCTGGTAATTTTCTCAGAGATCCTCTGCTTTACTGAAAGGGAATGATCTTATATGATCTTATTTTTGGGACAGGACAAGAGGAAGCAACGTAAGAAGTCGTATACAGTGCAGCTTTTTTAAAACCATTATTATCCATCTATTCATTTCCGAACTGTTTCTTCTAATTCAGGTCATGGGGAGCTGGAGCCTATCCCAGCAAGCAATGGGTGCATTTCAGGGTCAGGACGCCAGTCCATCGCAGGGCAGACACACAGACACAAACACTTGCATTCAATGCTCACACCAGGGCCATGTTTTCCCAGAAGCCATTTACCCTACCAGTATGTCTTTGGACTGTAGGTGGTAGTCAGAGCACCTGCAGGAGACCCACCCAAACATGAGGAAAACATACAAATTCCATGATTGAACCCAGAGGTTTGCATTACTACGCTGCTCTGCAAGGCAGTAACGCTAACCACTGTGCCACCCAGCGGGAAATTTGCAAATATGCAATTTCTTTTTTTGAAGAAAATTAATGCATAACACTTTTTCCCCCATCCTAATTCTGTATGTTGGCTATGGCAGGCCAGCGACTTCTAATGTCTTTTGGTGCATGATTTAAGAAAACCTTCTAGTGTGACCAGGAGGGGTACTGAACCTCAAAAAGAAAATTATAACTGCAAACAAATTCACAAGTTCTTAGAAATTGTCTTTTTTTATGAAGTTGTAACAGGTGCGCTAACATTGTATTGGACACACATGACACAGGTAAATGTTTTATAATCATAATCATCATCATCATCATTAACAAGGCTGATCAGATGTTAGGGCATACAGTACATTCCATGGCATTCTTACCTTGAAGAAAGCTGCTGTTGCTCAAGTCCCTGCTGGGGTGGTGTCCCATCATGATTGCAGCCATGATGTCATTCTTTCATGTGGAGTACTTTAGCGACTAGATGTTAACCATCACATCTGGGCGTACCCATTGACTGATCTGCTGTAGACACTAACAGTTACATCATTGACTTAATGACAGGATACATTGGAATTGTTTGACTGTTAAGACAGATCTTAAAAATGTTGTTGGTTGACTTCTGACTATTGCTTTTCCTAAAATAAAATCTCAAACTTCTAAGTGCCAAACAGACTTGCAAACATTCCAATCAAGCATCCTGTGACTTCGGTTAGGTAACTAAGCTCTGCTATAATAAAACCCAAGCTTCTGGAAATGGATTTGGAAACCCCCTTGTCTACAAAAAAAACCTTGATTAGTCTCTGAGGAGGACTTGGCTTCACTGCTTTCAAATCTATCTGACGCATCTCAGTTCCAGTTTTCAGCACGGAGATGGCACTGCTCTCTTGATAAATAGGATTAGCTTGATAAAAGGGTAATTCACCTCATTACCTGTGTATAATCAACTAATGAGGTGATTTTGTGTTTATGCACCAGTCAGGTTTGCTCAGGTGAATCACAGCCAGTCCTGTATAGCCAAAGTGATGATTTAAAGAATAAACAAAATTTGTATACTATGTTTTTCTAAGAAAAAATCAGAAATGTATTGTGATGTATTTGCTTTCATGCACATTATAGTGTCACTTAAAAACTTCTGCTGTTGCCTTCACATTCCATGTTATTGGGCCCTTTTATGAAACTTGGTTTATCATTATTTTGTGCTTCCATCATTGTTCAGCTGCAGCTACTGAAGTTCACAAAGCAAGTACTGCTGCAGTGGGTCTCTCAGAGACACATTCTTTTGAGAGTTTACAATTGTTCTGAGAGTGAGTTTTAGAATGCAAGTGATCACCTATAATTGTGTGTGATGCGTTAGTAATATTGTTTAAAATTCCGACTTTTTCAAAGGTTCTCTTAAATGCGTCATCATATGTTCTTGATTCCTGCTGCTGGTAAGGTTATTTTACCTCTGACAGCTTTTGACTAAGTCTGAAAGCAGTGGTTCAAGGGATTCCTATCAATCATCACTCCTGAGAACTGTTCGCATTCCTCTTTCCTGCTGCAAATTT